GGGGCGCATGCGGACTGCGCCACGGGGACCGTCGGTGGAGTTCCTATGGGGCCACGAAACGTCTCAGGGGTGTGCCGAAGTGAATGGCGGGAACGCATGCGGACTGTGCCACTGGGACCTTCGGCGGACCTCCTGTGGGGCCACGAAACGTGCGAGGGGTGTGCCGACATGAATGGCGGGAACGCATGCAGACTGTGCCACGGGGACCTTCGGCGGACCTCCTGTGGGGCCACGAAACGTGTGAGGGGTGTGCTGAAATGAATGGCTGGGACGCATGCGGACTGTGTGTGCCACCGGGACCTTCGGCGGAGCTCCTATGGGGCCACGAAACGTGTGAGGGGTGGGCCGACATGAATGGCGGGGACGCATGCGGACTGTGCCACTGGGACCTTCGGCGGAGCTCCTATGGGGCCACGAAACGTGTGAGGGGTGTGCCGACATGAGTGGCGGGGACGCATGCGACTGTGCCACTGGGACCTTCGGCGGAGCTCCTATGGGGCCACGAAACGTGTGAGGGGTGTGCCGACATGAATGGCGGGGACGCATGCGGACTGTGCCACTGGGACCTTCGGCGGAGCTCCTATGGGCCACGAAGCGTGTGAGGGGTGGGCCGACATGGTGGCGGGACGCATGCGACCCACTGAGACCTCGGTGGAGCTCCCTATGGGGCCACGAAACGTGTGAGGGGTGTGATGGGTGTGCGGGACGCATGCGGGCACACCCACTGGGACCTTCGGTGGAGCTCCCTATGGGGCCACGAAACGTGTGAGGGGTGTGCCGAAATGGGTGTGCGGGACGCATGCGGGCACACCCACTGGGACCTTCGGTGGAGCTCCCTATGGGGCCACGAAACGTGTGAGGGGTGGCCGAAATGGGTGTGCGGGACGTGCGGGCACACCCACTGGGACCTTCGGTGGAGCTCCCTATGGGGCATGTGCCGTGCGGGACGCATGCGGGCCATGCGGGACCTTCGGTGGAGACTCCGGTGGACGAAATGGGCGTATGCGGGCACACCCACCTTCGGTGGAGCTCTATGGGGCCACGAAAGTGTGAGGGGTGTGGAAATGGGTGTGCGGGACGCATGCGGGCACACCCACTGGGACCTTCGGTGGAGCTCCCTATGGGGCCACGAAACGTGTGAAGGGTGTGCCAAAATGGGTGTGCGGGACGCATGCGGGCACACCCACTGGGACCTTCGGTGGAGCTCCCTATGGGGCCACGAAACGTGTAAGGGATGTGCCGAAATGGGTGTGCGGGACGCATGCGGGCACACCCACTGGGACCTTCGGTGGAGCTCCCTATGGGGACACGAAACGTGTGAACGGTGTACCGAAATTGGTGTGCGGGACGCATGCGGGCACACCCACTGGGACCTTCGGTGGAGCCCCCTATGAGGCCACGAAACGTGTGAAGGGTGTGCCGAAATGGTGTGCGGGACGCATGCGGGCACACCCACTGGGACCTTCGGTGGAGCTCCCTATGGGGCCACGAAACGTGTGAGGGGTGTGCCGAAATGGGTGTGCGGGACGCATGCGGGCACACCCACTGGGACCTTCGGTGGAGCTCCCTATGGGGCCACGAAACGTGTGAAGGGTGTGCCGAAATGTGTGCGGGACGCATGCGGGCACACCCACTGGGACCTTCGGTGGAGCTCCCTATGGGGCCACGAAACGTGTGAGGAGTGTGCCGAAATGTGTGCGGGACGCATGCGGGCACACCCACTGGGACCTTCGGTGAAGCCCCCTATGGGGCCACGAAACGTGTGAGGGGTGTGCCGAAATGTGTGCGCGGGACGCATGCGGGCACACCCACTGGGACCTTCGGTGGAGCCCCCTTTATGGGGCCACGAAACGTGTGAGGGGTGTACCGAAATGGGTGATGACGATGATGATGGTGGGAGGAGGAGGAGGAGGAGGAGGAGGAGAGGAGAGGAGAGGAGAGGAGAGGAGAGGAGAGGAGAGGAGAGGAGAAGAAAAAAAAACACAAACCACCGTCTCTTCAAAACGAGGACCCAACACCACAGGATGGTTGGGAAATACAAACCATGTTGGATACCCGACGCCAGATGTCCAACATCTCGTTGTCTGAAGATGTCTCAGGCAAAGCTAAACTTCACTTTTGCGAACCAACGTTGTAAAACAACTCCGCCAACATTCCAATTGTGCGACTGTCTCAGGCCAAACGCCCCCCCCCTACACACACAAACAAACAAACTGTCGCACATTGCTTTTGATTTGCCGTTCCTTTGCTTTGCTTTTGCCTTTGCTTTGCTTTGCGTTTTGCGTTGCGTGTGCTTTGCTTTGCTGTCGCTGCGTGTGTGTTGCCTTTGATTTGCTGCAATGCTATGCTATGTTATGCTATGTTATGCTATGATATGCTATGCTATGATATGCTGCGCTGTGATAGGCTGTGCTGTGCTGCGCTATGATATGCTATGCTGCGCTATGCTATGCTATGCTGCGCTATGCTATGCTATGCTGTGCTGCGCTATGCTATGCTACGCTATGCTATGCTATGCTGTGCCCTGCTATGCTAAAGCTCAGCGAAGCTAAGATGAAGGTAAGCTAAGCTAAGATAAACCTGAGCTAAGATGGAGCTAAGCTAAGCTAAGATGAAATAAGCTAAGCTAAGATGAGATAAGCAACGCTAAGCTAAGTGGACGTAACTGGGGGAACAGCGGGGCGGATACTGGGGGAACCGCCCGGGGCGCTTTCCACTGCCCGGCCCCTTTAAGCCCAGAGAGTAAGAACCCTCTAGGCAGAGCCTAGGTAGGGAATTATACTTATTCTTAGTATTATGATTCGTCTTCTTCCTCATGTTTGTCCTCCTCCTCCTCCTCCTCGTCCTCCTGCTCCTGCTCCTGCTCCTCCTCCCTCCTCCCCCCTCCCTCCTCCTCCTCCTCGTCTTCTTCTTCGTATTATTATTATTGGTAGTCGTAGCATTAGTATTCTTAGGATTCGTATTATCATTATTGATCTTATTAACATCATTAGTCGTCTTATTAGTTTGCATCGTCTGTTTATTCTTATTACTCGCACTATTATTCGTATTGTTATTATCATTAATAGTATCCTGTGTATTATTGTTATTATGTTTAGTATTATGCGGTTTCTTTTTCTTTGTATTAGTCGTCCTTTTCTTCCTCCTCCTCTTCCTCCTCCTGCTCCTGCTCCTGCTCCTGCTCCTCATCCCTCCTCCCCCCTCATCCTCCTCCTCGTCATACTAGTATGAGTAGTAGTCTATTCTTAGTATTGTTGATGTTCTTATTACTATTGTTCTTAGTATGAATATTACTATTAATAATATTCGTAATACGATTAGTAGTTCATTATGCTAAGTCTTCCAAGTAGTATCATTAGTATGTCTCTTCATAGTATAAGTCTGAATAGTATTATAATTATTCGTATGAGTATGTTTCTTATTAGCATTAATATGATTAAGATTATTATTCCTCCTCCTCCTCCTCCTCCTCCACCTCCTCCTCCTCCTCCTCGGGTCGCCTACGGTCCCAGGGAAAACCGTGCACGCCAACCCGGAGAAGAAGAATAATAAGAATACAGTCGGGGCGCTGAAGAAGGAACCTTTCTCGTTTGGGAGGGGCTCAGTGTTCCTTCACCGTTTTCAGTTCGCATTAGGTTTTCCTTAGGTTTTCGATGGGAAATCGACGGTTAACTCATGGAAAAAAGGGGCCTCGATTCTTATGTTAGGGTTCCTCAGGTCATCGCCTCGACTGTAAGGAATGCTACCTGCAACTGCACGCCTTCGCCTGCCCGTCTCTTTTTTGCGCGCGTTCTGCAAACAAATTCGGCGCACAGCCTGGCTCAAGCACAAAGCCAACCCCCCTCCACCCCACCGACCGACCGACCGAAAGGCCGACCGACCGGACGACGGCGACGACGACGACGACGACGACGACGACGGCGACGACGACGACGACGACGACGACGACGACGGACGACGACGGACGACGACGCCGACGACGACGACGACGACGTTGCCGCCTATGACGACGACGACGACGCCGCCGCTGCCGCCGACGACGCCGACGGCGACGTCGACGTCGACGGCGACAGTCCCCCCTACCGACCGAACCATCCTGTCGTGTTGGGTCCTCGTTTTGAGGAGACACTGCCCTGCGTTCCGCCCTTCCTTCTCCCCCTCTTCCCTCATCCTTGTCCTCCTACCTCCTCGTCGCCAGTTCGGCACAGCCCTCACACGCCTCGTGCGGTTGGCCTCTCCTCGGGTGCCTTCTGGCAAGAATTCCCAGGAGAGTCCAACCGTGGCGACGAGGGCTCTCCAGAACGAGCAGCGGTATTGGGATCTCTTCCTCCTCCAACAAAGAGGCGCCCCCCCCCTGACGTCGCCCGCCCCCGTTCCTGGTGAACTTCGGGCCATAACTCGGGCCTCCGGCGGCCCTTCGGGACGACCCGGGCACCACCAGAAAACTCTCGGAGAGGCGCAGCTGCTTGCGAACATCCTGAGAATGGAAAACCGCCGAGATACGACCAAAACGTGTTGAAAACCTCTTCTCTAGATAGGGCAAGAATCGCCCCCTCCCCCTGGACCCGTGGGGTGGGTGGGGGGCACGTGCTACCGGAACGAGTGGAAGGGAACATGGAGGAAGAGGAGGAGGAGGAGGACGAGGAGGAGGACGAGGAGGAGGACGAGGAGGAGGAGGAGGGAGAGGAAAAGGAGGTCGAGGAGGAGGAGGAGGGAGGAGGAGGAAGAGGAGGAGGAGGACGAAGAAGAGGAGGAGGAGGAGGCGGAGGAGGAGGAGGAGGGGGAGGGAGGAGGGAGAGGGGGAGGCGAAGGAGGAGGGAGGAGGAGGAGGAGGAGGAGGAAGAGGAGGAGCAGAGAGAGAGAAAGAGGAGAAAAAGGAGGAGGAGGAGGAGGAGGAGGAGGGAGCGGAGTGGCAGGCTGCGTCAGAAGATCGATCACCGCCCCCTTTGAACGGGTACTCCATGCAAGGCAGCCTCGGGAGCCCCCGGAGAGCGCGCCGCTCCTGGCCGCGCCGAGCGACTCCTCCACGGCGGCCAGCGCCTCCGAGGCGGCGCTGCCCGCCAGCTCCTGGGGGGCGGGGCGCGAGCGCGCCCACCGCCGCGCTCCGCCACGACCACCCCCACCACCGCGACGAC